AAATTTTATATATTCATTATACATCATGTTATAGATATATACATGTATTCAAAATGGCTGATTTTGTTTTAATTAATGCTGTTCCAAAGCAATATCTCTCAATGTGGACAAGTACAAATGTCAATCATTTTAATGTTGAACAATCATCATCATAATCTTATTCCTGACATGGTTATATTCCAGTTATTTTTACTATAAACAAAACTATTATCTTAAATTCGATAACGAACCGGGACTGTGCCATGCATGGCTTGTTTTTATTGTTTTGTTTCTGATTACAATAAATGAATGTAGAATAATAAATTAATGACATAATTACTAATGATGCTCAAATGATATGTGGCTGACATTCTGTTTTGGTTGACTCCCATTTCACACATTGCTTTAATGACATTCATTACTGATTCAATATCTGTGGGTTGAATGATGCACATAACATATGTTTGTTCGGGTTACCTTTCTGTGTAAATGTTTACATGCATATCTGTTTTATTGAATTTCAAATAAACCTGGTGGGTTTCATGCATATTAAATATCAAATTTACATAAAACTAATCAAGAATTCGCATTGATATCCGATGTATATATTCCATGAGTGGAGGTTTAAGAATGCCCAATAACATTTCCTACCTAATTCCACAAACTGTCTTATTTGTGTCTGAATGTTAAATTTATTAGACCTATTATTATACCACCTATCATTACACTACCTATTATTACACTATGTATTACTATACCACCGATTATTACACCACATATCACTTTTTATTCTTTTTCAGTACTGCACTTTGAAACATGTCTGCCATCTTGGAAGTATCATATAATCTTAAGTTTAGAAGCAGGATTCAGATATATATCCCAGTCAATACCACAACATGGCATATTTTGTCAGAAAGGAATATATATAATAATAATGATTTTTCTCTTGTGTATAGTTACAGATATGTTGATTTGAATGAAGCCAGGTCATTTATAGAAAGATGCATGCAATCTGTTGGTACAAAACCTAGCCATGCTGCTGCATTGGCCGAAGTATTGGTAAAAGCTGACTATAGAGGGCACTATAGTCATGGAATAAATAGATTAGGTATATATATAATATATATATATATATTATATTATCTGACATTATATCACCTGACAAATAAGATCACATGACAGACAGAAATGGGAAATGTTTTGGATTATGTCGAACCATTTATCCATAGATCATCATTTTTCAGACATGCCTGGTCTGTTTTTGTTGGTACAAGTACAAGTCACAATGTGATATTTTTTTTAACATTTGTCCCAAAAACATCAAAATTCAATATTTTAACACATCATCATGATCAACAGTTTCTCAGCCATGTCTTAACTAATTTTGTTCAAACTTAGTATAGACATCATTAATGGTGGGTTACTGATTCGTGTCACTTTAATTTGGGATTTGATTGAAATTAACCAACTGGTGACCATTGTTAACTCCACTGTCGACTTTGTCGAGCGGAGGTAATCATATGAGTGGTTGTTGTTCGTGTCAACTAGTTTGTACTTTTTCGACTTCTTGAAAACTACAATTCTTATTGCTTTGGTGTACCTTGTGCAGATCTCTCTTAGATTTGTTCATTTTGTGATGATATCTTTAATTCTCTAATTTTGATGAATATTTTTGTCTTTTTTGGTAAAAAGTGATATTTTTTGGACTTCATGTTAAAAACCGCAACTCTGATTGTTTTGATATTACATATATAGGTACTACATGTGGAACACCAGATTTTTTCATTTTTTGATGATATCTTTAATTCTCTAATTTTGGTAAATATTTTTGTCATTTTTGGTAAAAAGTGATATTTTAAACTTCCTGTTAAAAACCGCAACTCTGATTGCTTTGATACTACACATATTATGTACCTCATGCAGACCTCTCTCAGTTCTTTAATTGAAATGTGCATTGCTAACAGCGAAGCTATCACATCCAAGAGGCTGCTTGTTTTTTATTTACATGTTACCTGCCCCTTTGTCAGGTTTAACCTAAATTTGATACTAAGGCATGTATTAAGTTAATCACTAATTGTCCTATTCTGGATGAACTGATATGAGATTGTACTATTTCAGTCTGAAACCTTAAAATTACTTATTTATTCCTCTAATTCATAAACTGCTTGTAATAACAATTTGTCAGATTTTAAAGTTTTAAACTTCTATTTTAACTTACTGTGTGTTACTGCAAAACAACATCCCTCTTCCTGAGTTGAACCTGCACATAGCATGTATATTTATTTATTTAAGTAGATTACTTGACATATTAGATCATTTTATAAATCATGTCAGGAACATACTGGGCTGGATCTAGTTTATTATGAGATATGTTTTAATACCTAAATGAACAATGCTTACACATATACACAAAAGCAACATATTATTTCATATTAATTGAAAAACAAAACCAAATTAACAAAATACCTTTTTTAAAATTTATTCCCTAATAGATGTTTACCTGGATGACATTAAAAAGAAAACCACTGTGAGTGATACAGAGCCGTCTATAGTCAAAGAGAATGTAGCAACAGGTTACGTAGATGGTTGTAATTTGCTGGGACCCGTGGTTGGTAAATTCTGTATGGAGTTAGCCATTAAGAAAGCTAAAGAAGCTGGTATTGGATGGGTTGTAGCAAATGGTATGTATGTTGTAATATCACCATTTAAATAGAGAGACCCCTTAGTACATATTTCGTTATTGTTATTAGTTCCCATTCAGAAGAAGTCTAAAGAAGAAAAACTATATTTTCCACTTTGCTTTCATCCGTCTGTATCCACCTACTATACTAGACAGACATGGCTTTTTTTTGACTAATTTTATTCCAACTTTACACTCGCATAACGCATATGAGCCTATTCTGTTTTAAGATGGGTTACTAATGACCCTTTTTAGCTGTTAAAATGCACTAGAAATGGTATCAGTTAAACTTGAGGCACATGTATATCATTCAAATGATCTGATTCAAAATATCAAATGAGTGACATTTTCACTGAAATTCAAAGGCTGACATGGACATTTAGAATACCCATAGATAATGCATGCTTAAAAACAAGTATTTCTACATTTTTGGTTCTCAGAAATGTGCTGCAGACTTAATATATGAAAACATGTACATCAAGATGCATATTATCTTTAGGTAGAGGTTGCATTCAAGATATCATTCATTCACTCATTCACTCATTCACTCACTCACTCACTCACTCACTCACTCACTCACTCACTCACTCACTCACTCACTCACTCACTCACTCACTCACTCACTCACTCAACTTAAAGAACTTAAAGAAACTCTATGTACATAATGCAATAATTTTTTTATTTATTTATTAATTAATTAATTAATTTATTTCACCAAAAATTATGTCAAAAAGTGATACAGCATTTGAAACATAGTACTTGCAATCATGATTGAATGAAATGAGCCCTGAAACTAGCATACACTGATTATAGATACACCAAGTAGTGGCTCCTATTCACCAACTTTTTATTAGTCCCCGTTCGGACGCAGTCCGAAAACGGGGACTTATGTTTTGCCCTGTGTGCGTCCGTCCGTCCGTGCGTCCGTGCGTCCGTGCGTCCGTGCGTCCGTGATCACCTGTATCTCGAACATGCATGGACCGATTAAGTTCAAACTTCACTCATACATCACACATTATATGGGACATATGCACATGCATTTTTTTCATGATCCGATTAACGATAGCCGAATAGCGGCCATTTTAAGGCCGAAAATGCATCAAAATCGCACATTTTCACCATTCCGGACCCGGATCTCAGTTATGCATGGACGGATTTTGTTTAAATTTGGTACATACATTAAACATAATAGGACCTTGATGCACGTCATTTTTTTTTTTGGATCGGGTTCGAAATGGCCGACTGGCGGCCATTTTGTTTTAAAGAATTCAGTTCTGGATCCGTATCTGAGACATGCTTGGATTGATCGAGTTCAAACTTCACACACACAAGATACATCATGTCACAAATATGTATGTGCATTTGTTTCATGATCTCATTAACGATAGCCAAATGGCAGCCGCTTTAAGGCCGAAAATGCATTGAAATCGCACATTTTCACCATTCCGGACCCGGATCTCAGTTATGCATGGACGGATTTCATTCAAATTTGGTACATACATTAAACATAATAGGACCTTGATGCACGTCATTTTTTTTTTCGGA